CCATCCATCCATCCATCCATCCATCCATCCATCCATCCATCCATCCATCCATCCATCCATCCATCCATCTAAAAACATGCAAATAAAACTTTGGCTTGTCTAGTATTCCCACGGTATATAAAATTGCATGCCTCAATCTTTTTGCATGCAAATTGCATTGAATAAAAAGTCAGACAGTACAGTTAGTTTTCATGTGTTGCAGGAGCACACCAAAGAGGAGCTGGACAGCTGGAAGATTGTCCGTGTCAGTGAGGACTTTAGAGTCATTGCTTTGGGTCTTCCTGTTCCCAAATACAAGGGGAACCCGCTGGATCCTCCCCTCCGCTCTCGCTTTCAAGCCAGAGACATCTATTACCTTCCATTCAAGGTCAGAGGTCCAAGAACCTGCACATTGTCCAACATCAACAGTTTTCCTCAAACAGCATGTCTCTGTAAGGACATAAAATGTAGTTAATGAGATGATAGCAAAATRAAAGAAGTGTAGTGGGTTTGTTGGGACAGGAAAGAGACACAGAGAAATATAGAAGGACTGGTCCAAGTATATTTTCCTCTAGAAGATAGACAAAGAAAAATAGAAATACTTACAATAATAAACATGTAGAGGAGAGTGACTAAAGGCAGCTGTAGAGTGAGGAAATGTGGTCAGTCTGTCATCCAGTAGTCTTAGCTCACAGCAGCAGAACCAAGGGTTAACCTAGGAAACYAACCCTAAATATAGGATTAATCAAAAAGGAAAGTCTTAAGTCTAGTCATAAGAATAGACAGTGATAKACTTTCAGATTTTCCACAGTTGGAGTCATAATTGTTTTCTTTGTGGGGTGTTAGCCCCTTCATAATTTTTATCTTGATATTTTTAGGACCATCTGGAAATGCTGTATGCAGCCGGACCAAATATTTCTGCAGAAAGGTAATGTAAGAAGCTGAGGCAATTTAAAACGGCTTCCTGATGATTTTTGAAACATTTGTTATATCTCGTCAGAGTGTCGCAGCTGCTGTCCCTTGCCACAACACTGTGCTCCCAGGAGTCATCTAGTTTGGGCCTCCCTGACTTTCCTGTGGACAACCTTATTTCTGCACTTCATGTTCTGGTGAGACTTGAGAAGAAAGTTTGTTTGAAATTTAAAAAGAAAAAAAAAGAACAGTTTTTTTTCTTTCTTTGCTGCAGAACATTTTCCCCATGATGTCCTCCCAGCAGTTAATACAGAGACTTTATCCTTACAAGAGTATTTTGGGAAAAGATGGACACACTGCTGTTGAGGGTGTGTTGAATGTAAGTTCACTCAAATAACTGGTTCAAATTTGATCTTTGTGTTGTTTTATTAACTGTTGGTACAGTATAATATGTGATGCAGATGCATGGTTATTGTCTGTACCTTGTCTTTCGTTGTTTTTTTCAGCGGTTTGAGCTTTTGGATGGCTGTCGTCCCTCAGCTCCTGGTGCTATTCTGAGTGTGTCCCTATCAAAGGAATTCGAAGGCCATGCAGATGTCACAGTCCGGGTCGCAGACAAGGATGTCACCTTCCAGGTACAGCACCATGAGTCTGTTTTATGTTGTTGTGTCATGACCATGACCAAGTTTGTATTATTTCTTTTACACAAGATACTTATCAGTGCGAAGGTGCAAATMATTTTTTGTTGTATAAAAATAAATGCATGCATTCATACATCTGGAAGTTTTCATCTCCAAGCAAATTCCCACTGAAACCTTTTGGAAGCAGTTAGAGCAGCAAGTTTCTAAATCAGTTATCATCTTACACTTATACAACCAAGTGAAAAAAGTCGGGGATTGGCAGTGGCAGCCATATATGGCTCGCATTCCTTGAAGATGTTTAATCAGAGTGATAATGCGTTTGCTGCTTTTTCATGCCATATTTTTTTYTATTTTCATCAAACTTCAGGTTCCTGTTGGCAGCAAAGAGCTGCGTCCCCCCAACAGCAGTTCCACCTTCATAAACACACCGAGCCACTCACAGCTGCTGGCTGAGATGATGCAGTCACACATGGTGAAGGACATGTGCCTGATAGGAGCCAAGGTAGCTGCCATACTGTGCAACATGCACACAAGTTGTRCAGAARGAATGGTTTCTGATATTGATAGTAAGCATTTTGGGTTTTCCAGGGCTGTGGCAAGTCGGTGATTGCGAGAGAGTTTGCTGAGATGCTGGGCTACAGCATTGAGCCTGTCATGCTTTACCAGGTACAACATTCACAATTGTTTAATATCAGAATTAAAATAGAATAAAATGCATTTTTGTGAAACAGAAATGAAAAGTTTATCCTATTTACAGTAAAACATAATAAAACACATTGACAACATGACACTATTTTATATCTTGTCATTACAAGAGTTATGCCATCCATCCACCCATCCGTCCATCCATACATCCATCCTCCCTCCTAATACTCCGCTTTACATTTCCGAAGGCTTTAGCTTGAGCAGGGAGGCCCAGACCTTTCTTTACACAGCCACATCTTCCAGCTCTCTTGGGAGGATTCCATGGAGTTCCCAGGCTAGTCGAAATATAGTTTAGCTTCACTATCAAACCCTCTCACATACACAATCAAACTCTCTCACATACACTATCAAACCCTCTCACATACACAATCAAACTCTCTCACATACACTATCAAACTCTCTCACATACACTATCAAACCCTCTCACATACACTANATCAAACCCTCTCACGTACACTATCAAACCCTCTCACGTACACTATCAAACCCTCTCACATACACTATCAAACTCTCTCACATACACAATCAAACTCTCTCACATACACTATCAAACCCTCTCACATACACTATCAAACTCTCTCACATACACTATCAAACTCTCTCACATACACTATCAAACCTCTCACGTACACTATCAAACTCAACAAGTATCAAAGATATAGTATATCTGTTTTCCTGTTTATTACACAGCTGCCCAAAGAGTGTGAGTCTTCCCATGAAGAGGCATTTAACAGAATAGTTCATTCATTACAACTTACTGCGGCTGCGTTGAATTCTTTCACTGGATGTCACTCACATATCTGTATTGAAATACACTGCCTGGCCAAAGAAAAAGTCACCACCAGAAAAATGGTCACACACACTAATATTTTGTTGGGCTGCCTTTAGTTTTGATTACGGCATGCATTGTTTTGATAAGATTCTGTAGTGTCACAAGATTTATTTCCATCCAGTGTTGCGTTAATTTTTCACCAAGATCTTGCATTAATGATGGTAGAATTTGACCGCTGCACAAAGCCTTCTCCAGCACATCCCAAAGATTCTCAATGGACTCTGTGGAGCCAATTCATGTGTGAAAATTATGTCTCATGCTCCTTCAACCACTCTTTCACAATTCGAGCTCTGGGAATCCTGGCATTGTCATCTTGGAATATGCCCGTGCCGTCAGGGAAGGAAAAAAAATCCATTGATGGAATAACCTGGTCATTCAGTATGTTCAGGTAGTCAGCTGACCTCATTCTTTGAGTACATACTGTTGTTGAACCTAGTTGAATCCAGGTGGATACATTCTTTTGGCTGGGGAGAGTAGCTTAATCATGAGGCAGTCATCTATCTGCATCATAACTTTGGGCCCAGTTATAGAATCAGTGCTCTGTTTTTAATATGGTTTCACCATCAGAGAGTTACTCAATAATCACTGCCTGAAAGAAACTGTTCAAATCAGCTTTTCTTTCCTCTTATCCTCGCAAACACTGCCGTGATATGTTACCATGATATTAACAGACATTTACTACATAGCCCCCCTCCAACTGAAAAAGTGCTATTAGATGTTATCAAAATTTAGAAGCTTTGTCAGATTATTTAGGGACATACAGGGGTTAAACAATGAACCTGAAACAGCTGTCATTTTAGTGTGGGAGGTTTCATGGTTAAACTGGACCAGCCTGGTGGTCAATCTTCATTAACTGCACATTGGACCAGTAAGAGCAGAGTGTGAAGGTTCAATTAGCAGGGTAAGAGCACAGTTTGGCTCAAAATATTGCAACGTACACAACATTATGGGTGACATACCAGAGTTCAAAAGAGGACAAAYWGTTGGTGCACGTCTTGCTGGAGCATCTGTGACCAAGACAGCAAGTCTTTGTGATGTATCAAGAGCCACAGTATCCAGGGTAATGTCAGCATACMACCAAGAAGGACCAACCACATCCAACAGGATTAACTGTGGACGCAACAGGAAGCTGTCTGAAAGGGATGTTATGGTCAAAACCAGCTATTTCACTTTTATTGTCTAATCCCTGTAGTTAAAATGGATTATTATATACTGCAAGAAACATTGCTGCTTTCTGAAGCTGTTTTTGATGTGTGATATTTTTTATTAAACTAATGTAAATACTTTACATTTTTATCTAAATTTTCCAAAATTCATTGCAAATATTTTTATGTACTTTTATGTTCCATAAACTCAACAGTTCCTTTTAAGCCCTGTTGGGCCCAGTACAGGGCCGACAAGAGAACTGAAGGAAATCTTCTAAAATCTTGTGGGCTTAAATGGTTACAGTTTATTAGTGTTGTAGTACTTGAGACCGGTCTCAAGACCACTTTTTGATGGTCTTGGTCTTGTCTCGGACTCGACAGCATTTGTACTCGGTCTTGTCTCGGTCTCGGACATTGAGGACTCTGAATTTTATTTCAAGACCAGTCAAGACCACAACTGTGGAAATATCACTAAATAGCTGGATTATTGTCCAATGTATTTGTTAACATCTTTGCTTTCATTGGATTTAAAACATACTGATTCAAATCCAAAGCCAGAGCAGTCCATTCATGTTTGATAAGGGGTTTATGGCTATCTAGCAGCGCAGAAACCTTTTTTGATTTTTTTTAACACACCATCTTTTAGGACACAGTGCTTTTAGGAGTGTAGTACCACTGAAAAGCTTCAGCAAATTCTTACTGCAAGTGTAACAGTGCAGCAGCTTTGGTGTTTCTTTATATATGTCCATGCTTTCTTACACATCGATGCTAGGAAATAGAAGTTCAAAGTAATTTCTGTTCTCATGCCAACTGTCTTTGCTTCTTTATGTAACTTCCAGGACATGACAGCCAGGGACCTTCTTCAGCAGAGGTACACTCTGCCCAACGGAGACACAGCATGGAGGCCATCTCCAGTGGTCACTGCTGCCATCGAGGGCAAAATGCTGATCCTCGATGGCATACACAGAGTTAACCTTGGAACCCTGTCTGTGCTCTCCAGGTGCTGCAGCAGATTTTTTATTTAATTTWTTTTATTTTAGGACTGCATTGTTAAAATTAATTATTTCTTTATCTGTAAAGTTGAAGAGGTTTCTCAGCTCACTGTGCCTCATTTTAACTCCCAGATTGCTCCATGAAAGGGAGTTAGATTTATATGATGGGACCAGACTGCTGAGGTGGGACAGGTACCAGATGTTGAAGGAGCAGCTGCAGCTTACTGATCAGCAGCTGCAAGAGAGGTACACACACACACACACACACACACACACGTTTGTTCTTCTATCCTCATGGGGACTTTGCATTGACTTCCATTCATTTACCGGTCATTTCTACAGCCTTATGGTGCGTTCACACCAAACGCGATTTCAGC